GGGGGGGGGGGGGGGGGGGGGGGGGGGGGGGGGGGGGGGGGGCATATAGGGAATTCTTAATCTTATAACTGCAATAAAAATCTTTAGAGAATACCATTAGCTTTGGAAAAAAAAACCTAAAAGCTTTATTACAAACCCAGCTTTGAAATAGGGGGGATTAGAGGACTGAAAGGGTCCCACAATAGTTAGAAGAAAAGGTTTCATGCTAATGAGGTTAATGCCCTTTGTATCTCCGGACTCCACAACTTCATTACTCCTATCTCGGGCAACACCGAGCGGCTCAGAGCTTCACAATCCACTCGAGCTTTTCCCTACCCGGCCTCTAAAGAAGGATTTGATAGCAGTCCTGTTCAAACTAGATAATTATATCTTTTCAAGTTGGAATTAAGATAAAGAAAGTGCAGTGGAGGCGGTGAGCCTTGATCCGCCGCAAACAAATTTGGCGCACTCTCCCCCCCTCTGTGCGCTTGTATGGACACAGGAGACAGGACAGGCTTCTCATTAGAGGCTGGCACAGTTTGATTAATTTAAAGGCGTTTGTTTTTAATCTGGGAATATCTATGGTTGTTTTTTAAATGTAGCGGCAGCTCTATTTATGGAAATGCATTATTTTATTTGTTGCGGACATGATAATGAGAATTTAGCAGGTTGAGCAACAAAATTCAAAACCCAAATTTACCAAAATATTCTAAAAAGCTTAATGATTCCTTATTCTGAGGGCACCTGTCCAAATATTTAAATGAGAAAAAAAATACGAGTCGTAAAAAGCATTTTAGAAATTGGTCTCAGTCCAAATAATCCAAAATGCAAAATAATAACAATAATAATTGCGCATGTACGTTGCAAACCACAGAGCTTAATATTTAGATGCTTTCTCTGCGTTTTAAAAATTAAATGCGCCATTCTTTTACGATCTTGGCTCTTATAATAAAAGGACGATCAAGCGCAGTTTGAGACTAAGGTCACATGAATATTATCGTTCCAGGCAGAATTCAAACAGTGTGTGTGTGTGTGTGTGTGTGTGTGTGTGTGTGTGTGTGTGTGTGTGTGTGTGTGTATTATGATGTGAAGTGGGCCCTCGCACATCAGATCCCTCTCCCACACGCTCGTGCTGTGCGTTAAGGGCCGGCTGTGGGGACCTTTGTTGACCCGCTTATCTAAACTTAAGCTGCTGCGCTCCGTCCAGGGGCCAAACTCTCCATAAATCATCACAGCTCCTGAACAGTTGGATTATTCCTCAAATATTCACGGCCGAGCCAGTTTTGGACGTTTTGGACCTATAAGCCCCGCGTGCATGAAACATTTAGTCTGCAACGTGAAATGATTATCCGTCATTGAAAAGAGTAGTCGGTCCTATCAAGTGACCCCACTGACCCAAAACCTCTAATCTGCAATTAGTAGGTATAATTACGTCCGCTGACACCGCTAATGTGGATAGCGGCGGAGGGAGGGAACCGGAGGAAGTCATGCTTCGTGGTAGTGCTGGAAGTCAATAATTGATCGAGCTGAAATATCTTAAGTCGGGAGAAGTGGCTGTTGAAAAGGATGGATAGTTTGTCAACACGCTGCAGCTTTTCTAATTTCATTTCATCAGGGTAAAAGAAAATGCTCGTGAGCGGGCACCTGTAGGCCGGGCCTGTCACAGAGCCACGTCAGGACTAACTTGATCTGTCCCGTTTCTCAAATTGCCTCTGAAATTGATCCTTGAAACGAGAGAATGAAGCCCACACAATTCCCTTGGCCTTGACATAAGGTGCAGCGATAAATATACAAGACTAATGAGCAATTACTATACAATCACCCTTCAAATGGCTTACATAATAATAAATTAAACATCGGAGCCTCGGATTGGGTTTCTTTCTTTATTATTAAAAACGAGGGAGGCGCGTTTGCAGCCACGATGTACACTGATGATTATGTTTTCCAAACGCAGCAATTTTCCAATTCGCCATCGGGAGCAGTCAGCACTTATTGACTCGGACTGACTAACTAATTCACTGATCGTTTACGGCATTAACGCAACTGCGCAGACGCAAAGATAAATATAGTTTAAAAAAGTGTCTTTATTGTTATGGATTCGTTATTATTTCTAATTTAGATTTCGAAGCAGATGATGCGTTTAAATGCACAATTAAAAACACAGACACTCACACAGTGATCTTAAACGCAGCATTTATCCGCCTGCTGCGTTCATTGACACAAATCGTCGTCGTGAAAGCCTAAACTCGTAGCATAATTGGGTTAGACAATGTATTGTAGTTAATGTTGCGTCTAAAATAAACTAAATTCAAATGAAGGCAGTAATATGTAAATAATATATAATATACTTTTGAATATTATTTATTTTGCTGCCCCTGCACTGATGAGCTTGCTAAGTGCCCCTTTTTAAAAAAAAATTCTCCATCACAATTAATTAATTCAGAGCAGGGTTCCAGCTTGTAGACACACGCACTCACCCACACACACACGCACCCCCGCACACACACACACTAAGAGGCTGGCACCAAAATGAATGTGATTGTTAATAGATGAACGAAGCCTAAGAGCCACATTACAAGCTTCTCTGACAGACGCAGAGGCTCCATTGCCCACATTCACTGAGGTCACCACACAGACAACATATGACCAAGAGATGTCGCAGACCTATAAGTGATAAACGGCTATTTCGCAATGAAATATTCATCGAGAGCTGCAAATCAGGAAACACTAAACTTTTTCCACCTGTACAAGCGTGTCTTTCTCCTTCTGTCGGCCTTCTTCTCGGCCCCAGAACGCGCTCCGCAGTCTGCAGACGCCTCCAGCATCTGCCTGAACTCGGCCTGCACAATCTAAGCTCAGTTTGGGAAGCCTCAGAAAGTTTGAGGCCTTCATTAGCTGTTTTTTCCTCTTATTATTTCCAACCGGCTGCAACAGTAAACATGCCTTTTCTTTAATGCATTCTTATTCTTATGACCTGCTGCTAGCCCACAGATTCCTAAGGTTTATTTTCTTTAATGACAGGGGGAATTTGGGCTGTAATGTGATGCAGTTTCATTTGCATATAAGTGCTTCCCACACATGCACCAGCTCTGAAGAGAGCAATTGTGGACACCCCCCCCCCCTCCTCCTCTGAAGTTCCAAACATTTTATAGGTTGTATCTGCGACCAGCATTCCCCTCAGCGCACTAATGTGTAACATATGGCGGACTGTACACCTGATAAAATACCTCAGGGGCCCTGCAGTTTGAAAAATCCTCAATTCGCTCCCTAAATAAAACAAACAATGGCCCCACTAAATATATCACATGTGCCTGCTGAGCTATTCTGTGTCTCTTGACCTGCGAGTCCCCTCCCACATCATCAGCACTGATACGGGTCTATCTGCTTGCTGGCCAGTGCCGTGGCTCAACCAGCAGGTCCTTTTGAGAACAATATCACCGATTTGAGAAGCTCCTGTCTTCACTTGCTGCAGGCTAAACAGGTTGCAGGAGCACGGCTTGCTCTCCTGTCTGGCTCTGTTAAACCCACGCAAAAGGCGTCCATGTTTTGTGTTGCTCCATGTCAGGATATGATCACATCCAATGACATTAGCTCACATCTAAAACTGGAGCCTTAGTCCACTTCTCTCCTGCTCTTTCATCTCTGTGAAAGTGCAGTAAATGTGGCTACGATTGGAGTTGAAATGTAATATAGCTGCTAGTGTGTGGGTTATTGAACAGACAGGTGAAATTGTGGGCACCTGTTCCTCTGTCCCTGCTTTGCACCCCTCTGAGCTTCGCTGTGTCTCCCCCTCTTGGTAGCTGGGAGGGAGAAAAGTCAACCCCCCCCCCCCAAAAAAAAAATATATCAAGTTTCTGTGGGCCGAGTCTGACGGCAGTTGAGTGCTTAGTGTCTGGAAAGTGAGGCTGCATAAAATACTCGTGGTGGAGTTCTTGGACAGGGGCTTGTGTGCACATGGATAGTGGATGGTGCATCACTCTCCCTTATTGCTTTCCAACATCAGAGTCATCTGAGCCTGTGACACATATTTAAATAGTCATTTTAGATTTCTCATCAAGGGCCTTTCGATAGATTGGTGTTGACTAAGTGAAACATAAAACAAAAATAAACCCAGCACCAGTGAATACTACTCATTCTATAGCCAGATATGTTCTAGTTATGTTGCTCTTGAAGTGCTTGTGATAAGTTATACACATGATTTAGCTGAAAACGTTTTGCTTATGGTTTAAATGATGTAATGCTAACTGATCTTCACTGTGATCTTGTTGATTAGCACATACATGTTTTTGTATAATTCATTATACAATATGTATTTGTATTAATTAAAAACAGCACTAAACTCTTGCAATATATCCATATATATTGCATATATATATATTGATTTATCTTATTTTTAGGGACCAATGACCCATAGCCCAGCACTATAGATGGAGTACATCTGATCTATTCTAACATTTACTTCATAAAAAGCAGTGGAATACACAAACAATACAATAAGACAACAATGACATGATGAAAATACCATAAAAATTACTAAATACTTGCCTGACAACATGTACCAACATGTGGTGCTTTTTGCCATTATAACTTTCCGTAAACCCAAAAAATGTATCCAAAATATTTCGGATAAAGACTTTTTTCAATACGCATCATAATTCACTAAGTTATGACTGAAAACAAAATCAAAGACTGAGACAGTGCAGAAAAAGTAGCCTACTGCAGACAAATATCTAGCTATTTAAAAATATAACTATATAAATATAAATATTGACCAGTGATTTATATTATTTTCTACTTGAGAATGACAAGTAACACTGACCAGAACTCTTTATTCTCTCTGAAGCCTAATTTACAACAGACAGCATT